CTCTTCCTTGGTTCCAAATGAATTTTAAAATAGTTTTTTCTAATTCTGTGAAGGTCAGTGGTAGTTTAATAAGAATAGCATTGAATCTGTAAATTGCTTTGGGCAGTATGGCCATTTTCACAATATTGATTCTTCCTATCCATGACCATGGAATATTTTTCCATTTGTTTGTGTCCTCTCTGATTTTCTTGAGCAGTGGTTTGTAGTACTCCTTGAAGAGGTCCTTCACTTCTCTTGTTAGCTGTATTCCAAGGTATTTTATTCTCTTTGTAGCAATTGTGAATGGGAATTTATTCATGATTTGGCTCTTTGCTTGCCTGATGTTGGTATATAGGAATACTAGTGATTTTTGCATATTGATTTTGTATCCTGAGACTTTAATTGCTCAAAAAATTTATTCTTTACATAAGATTTGAAATGTTATTGCTGTAAATTAAGTTATGGCACTGTCTTCAGATGGCCATATCCTCAAGGTGTACATGGTCTGGGAGATGTATCCATAAAACTTCAATGACAAAATGCCAAACTTGTAAATAGACTGCTATGGGAGCATGGAAGAGGAAGTGACTAATTCTACCCAGGAAAAACCAGGGAATTCAGGGCCGAGGCCCTATGCTGGGCTACTTGGTTTAGAGCATTCTGTTTGGGCCCTCCTTTACTTGCACCCCCAGTTCCCACCCACTCTTTTGCCCACTAAACTCAGTTCAGGTAACTGAGACCTTGGAATTCCTTTCCCAGGTATCTCAAACCTGCTTCCAGGACTTGTGAATACTTGGTCCTTGGGTCTGTTCTCCTGAGAACAAGCCATGACAACAGTTGACCCCATATTCTTGAGAGGTGGCCTAGAAGAGCTTACATGTGTGGACTGGGGTGTTCACATGCAGGGCAAAGCCAGGGTGGAAATAGAAGAGAAGGTATGGGACAAGGAATGGGGACTGGGAGACATCTCTCCTTATTTTCTCTCCAGAGGTCAAATGTTCTAAATTCAAATCAAGTGTCACAGATTGTTAGAAAGGCACATTTGTCAGGGAGGAGGATAGAACATTTTATATAGTGGATGAGTATTTGTGGTGTGAAGGACTCTGCTTGTACCCTAGTGTCAGGTCCTGCATGTGTTAGGGTGGGTGGAGAGAAGATTTCCCAGAAGTAGAGATTTGAGATCGAATTTGAAAGTACAAGATTTCTCTCTGTGTTCAAGCCACTGTGGGTGATCAGTGCCATGTAACTGGGTCATACGGGAAGAGTCTGCAGATAGGCCCATCAAAAAAGACACCGGAGTCTGGAATACCATGGCTCTGGAATTTTGTCCATGGGCCATGAGAAAATTTTGAAAGTCTCTAAGAGAAACCTGAGGTGATCAGATCGGAGTTTGAGGGCTATGAGTCTGGTGGCAGTGAGGAGCCTGAACAGAAGGGAGAGAGATTTGAGGCAACAAGGCCAGTTTGGTAGCTTTTTCAGCTGTCCATGGTCTACAGCCTGAACAAAGTCCATGTCAGCTTGCTTTCTGCAGCCAGAATCTTATTCTTAGTGGCTACTTGGCTCTCATTGAAGCCCACCATTCCCTGCATCAGGCAGGCAGCTCTCAATGAGGAAGCACTGAAGACACCAGCCTAAGGAAATGCCCTGTGTTTGGAAAATAAAATTCCTTCTAATCCAAGAATAATCTATCTAAAACCCAAAGCAGACTTGTCTCTCATGTGTGGATAAACTTCAAGAAATATCTCTTTTCTATCATTGTAACAAACTTTAGGCTATTCAGAATTCAGAGTAAAAAATATCAACTTTTGTTGAATTTGTAAAATTGTTATTATTTAATTTACATTGTTCAGGGCTTCTCTTCCCTTGCTCTTTCTGTGGATTCAACTATGCCCAAGTGTATGTATTTGCCTTGAGCATCTTTCTTTCTCTTTCTGTCTTCTTTCTTTTCTTTTCTTTCTTTCTTTCCTTCTTTCTTTCTTTCTTTTTCTTCTGTCCCTCCTTCCATCCTTCCTTTCCTTCTTCCTTCCTTCCTCTCTTCCTTCCTCCCTCCCTCTTTCTTTTTCTTTCTTTCCTTCCTTCCTTCCTTCCTTCTTTCTTTTCTTTCTTTCTTTCTTTCTTTCTTTCTTTCTTTCTTTCTTTCTTTCTTTCTTTCTTTCTTTCTTTCTTTCTTTCTTTCTTTCTTCCTTCCTCCCTCCCTCTTTCTTTTTCTTTCTTTCCTTCCTTCCTTCCTTCTTTCTTTCTTTCTTTCTTTCTTTCTTTCTTTCTTTCTTTCTTTCTTTCTTTCTTTCTTTCTTTCTTTCTTTCTTTCTTTCCTTCTTTCCTCTCTCTTCCTTCCTTCCTTCACTTCTTCTTTTTCTTTCCTTCTTAATTGTTCTTTATGGGACAACAGCTAAAACCCATGCTATGTAGCTTGGGACGTATTGCTGAAGTTTAAATTTTAAAGTAAAAGTGGCATGAGAGAAGCACATGTCACAAAGACCTTGGTGTTCAGGAAACAGGACCTGAAGAGTAAGGACTGGGAAATGAAACTTTATAGAATGGGGCAGGAAATGTGCAAGCATTTTTCATTGCTAAAAACATGAGGTTAAGTATGTTGCCCTGACCTGGAGCAGGTGGCTGACACTTCTGCCATATATGCCAGGGACCTTGCATGGCTTCTCCTGAAGAACATACAATTGCTTCCTAATGCACAGGCAGCATTTCTAGAACTGTGCATTCGTATATGCTATTTACCAGAATTTAGCCCTATTCTTTCCTCCAAAAGTACTGGATATGAATCTGAAGTTTAAATCTCTATATAGGATAATTTTAATTATCTAGAAACTTTCTTCTTTTATGTTCTTGTTAGTTGTTTTGTAGTAATACATGACAGTATATGTTTCAACATTGTGTACAACTCTTTACTATGGGGTGGGGGAGATGTTTTATTCAGATGTCACTCTATACAAATTAGATTTATCTTCCTTTGATTTGTTGCTCAAAAACTTATTAACTCACCTTCCAGATAAGCTCTGTGTAAGGCATTAGGTGTCCAATGGTGTACAAGATAGGGATGATGCTTAACCTTGTGGAGCTTCCAATCCAGCCTGAAAGGCGTCTAGAGCAGCAGTAAGAAGGAATCATGTGAAGGACCTGCTCAGGGCCATTTAGGGTACAGTGGGAGCTTCCACAAGGGCACTATAGCCTGAGAAGGAAGAAGAGAGGAGTTGAGGGAGGTTTCTTAAGGAAATAATAGTTCATCTGAGGTCTCAAGAATGATCAGGAGCTACTCAAGCAAAATAGGGGCAACATGAATTCCAGGCAGAACAGATCACATGAGTAAAATCCAAGATGCAAAAGAAAATTTCTCAAGTTAAGAATTTTTAAAAATAATTCATCATAGTTGATGTGCAATAGGTAGTGGAATCCGGACTGGGGAGGGTGGACCAAGTGGACAAGGGACTGAATGTGGGAAGATGGATAGGAGTCAGGTATGAAAAAAAGGGCAAGTGACCATAGGGTTTTAAGGCAGGAAAAAACACCACTGTGGCTAAATCTGAGAAGAGATTGGATGGGCAAGACTGAGGGCAGGGAGACCTGTTAGGAGGCTGTTGGAATAACCCATGTGTGGGATGCCTGGGTCAGGGATCTCAGCTCCATGTCCCCCTGAGAGAGGCCTTCCCTGACCCTTTGCCTCAGTTAGGGCCCTGGGACAGTCTCTCACAGAGCCCTACATTTTCCATACATGGGATTTATTAAAATTATAATTGTTCATTTCTGATGTGATTATTTCTTTTACTGAATGTCTGCTTTACTAAACAGTGAATCTTGTCAGACTTATTGATGTCCCCATCACCTACAGCTTGCAAATAGGAAGGACTCAGTCAGTATTTGTGAATGAGTGAATGAATGGATGAATATAAAAAGAAGGAAGTGGACAAATCTGTGGGATTCTTGGGTATTGGAATCAACAGGACTTGGTGATTGCTTGGAAAATAGCTGCTGGTAAGGGAGAAACAGTTTCTAGTTTGAGTAGCCAGGTGGATAATGGTGTAATTTATAGGAAAAGGAGGCACTTAGAGCCAGAAGAGGTGGTGGGAGGAGCAGGTTTTTGGCAGGGGGTGGATTAGGAGTTCAACTTTGGGCAGATGGTGCTGTGTATCAGATTTGGTTTTAATACTGGAAGCTACATTTAAAGTCTACCCTACTCAAAAAATGACAAATCAATAAAGTAAATCAAACACAAACAAAAGAAACAAATAAAGCAGAAATATGGATGGGCAAATCTGTTTCACTTTCGTTGTTCAGCTTCCCACAAGTTTCCCTTTCTAATTCTTCTATTTTAGCAAACAAAACAATTCATTACATTATCAGTATGTGACATATTAACATAGAGTCTTTATTCCACCAAAGAGTTCCATTTTCTTGGATAAATTTCACCTTTACATTCATATAAGCATTAAGAGTCAAGAAAAAAAATTAAGATATGAGACTATGGTATAAATCATTTTGCTTTAATAATTTTATCTTCTTATTACATTTTTGTGATCAAAATGGAAAATTGAAGAAAATGTGGGAGATCTTTTCTGCTTTCATATTTTTATTTATTAAACATTTCTAAACTGGATTTCTCCATTTTGAAGGCTTTGATTAAAGTCAACAAGGATCTCCTACCTACTTAAATTGTCCTTTAAATTGCAGCTTTCATGGTGGTTGGAGGAAATGTATCCTTCCCAATGAGGAAATAACACATCGAAACTTGACTTATGAATAGCAACACTGAAGCATTATTTTAAACTTCACTCTTCAACAGTAAGGCACAGATTAAAAGAAAAAGGAACTAAAGGCTCTGAAGATTTTATTGTAAATTTTAAATTCTAAACTTGGGAGATTTGCCTGAGTACCAATGAGGTTAATAATCCCAGAATGTGTTGAGTTCAGGTTTAATACAAAAAAATTTTGCTTTCAAAATTAATTGCAATTTAATTAACTTTTCTTTTTCCTTCTTCTTTCTTCCCTCCTCCTCCCCTCTCTCTTTATAGGTAGTTCAGAAGTGTATTCCTTTCCTAATTGGGCATTTGAAGGATTCAACCCATAATGACATCATCCTAAACATCCTAATAGAGATAGCAGGCTATGAGCCAGTGGCTTTGAATGGTTTTCTTCCAATGCTGAAAGAGATCGGTGAGAGATTCCCCTACCTCATTGGACAGATGGCAAGGATTTATGGAGCTGTTGGGCATGTGGATGAAGTAAGTTTGTTTTTTTTCTCTCCATTCCCCTGAATTGCACTGGCGCTTAATCCAACCTATTTAATCTATTGGAGCTCTATGACATACAAATATTTCCTGGGATTTCTGGGAGTTCCAATTTATCTTTCAATCCTTTTACATGGGCAATGGCCTGTGAGTCAAGTAGCAGGGTTATGTGGAAGGTTTAGGAAGTGAGTATTTTATTACTGCTGTGTCACCTGAAGAAGGAGGGTTAAAATGGAGAGAGCACCAAAAGATTCAAGACCACTTTGCAGTAACAACAACCAATAAAAGAGCTGTATCTCATTTCAGGTTGCAATTTCTCTTAACCCAGGAGACCATCAGTAAGCACAGAATTAGATTTCATAGACTACCCTTTAATGAGAGCCTGTAGCTATCATGTCAATAAGTGCCTGGGTTCAGAATGTTTTCAGTCCTCTGACTGATGTTATTTGGGAGAGTGAAATAAACGTTTGTGGATGTTTAAAAGTACTAAGCTAAATATTTGCATAATGGCATCTTTCAGTAGGGACAACAGGATGCCATCAGAGTTTATGGGGATTAAGCAATTAAGAAAGTTTTCAGAAATTCAGGTTTCAAAGACATGCATGTCTCTCTGATGATTTTATGTTGGGATTTAGGATTTTTATATTTTAAAATAAAAACAAATCTATAATTGACTGAGAGCTTTTCCTTGAACCTATGTATATATAATATAATTAGCTATTCAATAAATATAAAATTGTCCAACTTTTAAAAGGAATTTCATAGTTCATTAAGTTCAATCCCTTGATTCTGCATAGGATAAAATTTAAAACCAGAAACGTTATGTGACTTACCCAGACTCAGACTGAGTTAGTAACCCAGTTAGAATTAGATCTTTGGTATCTTCAGCATCATTTTGGAATTTTGTCTTAAAACGCATCTTTGGTGCTGTTTGATTATATTTCTTCTCAGAGTTATAGTGAACCCCTTGAGTCCTGCCTGGCTTCCTCCTGGTCGAGGCTCTTTCTCCTCTAGCTTTCCAGAGGAGGGCAGGAGAACTGAGTTCCCAAGCCTGCACCTGTCAACGTGAGGATGGATCTTGAAAGGGGATTTCTCTGGTGTAGATGTACTCTTAGTATAATCCCTTTCTGTGCACTGCTGTTGGGAATGCCTCGCCACACTCTGCCTTCTGTTAATGCTTTCCCCTGCCCGTCACCTTTTCTGCCAAGAGAACCCACTGGTATGCCCGAGTGTTATTAGGCCAGCTTCGCCTGACAGCTGTTTAACTGAATCTACTGACCTTGCAGATCTTTGCAAGGACCAAAAAGTTCAACCTCTGAGGTGTGAGGCCCTGGAATCTTTAAAAAGTAAAGTCTTTCTGCATTTTCATGGTAATTCTTTTTGTCAGAAATGATTCATTAATGTATAGTAATGCACATTGGTGTTGACTAAACTCCCATGGAAAATGTAATCTGTGAAAAACAAAAAACAGTAGCCACATGCAGTCTAACCACATGCAAATTATGTCAATGTCAGTTTGTCTGAACTAAGGCTGTATCCATCTGTTCTTGCACTGCTATAAAGAAATAGCTGGGACTGGGTAATTTATAAAGAAAAGAGGCTTAATTGGCTTGCACTTCCAAAGGCTGCAACAGGAAGCATGATGCTGGCATCTGCTCAGCTTTTGGGGAGGCCTCAGGAAAACCTACAATCGTGGTGGAAGGCAGAGGGGAAGAAGGCACCTCATGGCCAGAGCAGGAGGAAGAGAGAGTGGGGAGGTGCTGCGCCAGATCTCATGAGCACTCACTCACTCTCATGAGAGCAGCAGCGAGGGGGAAATCCACCCCTGTGATCCAGTCACCTCCCACCAGGCCTCACCTCCAACATTGAGTATTACAATTCGACATGAGATTTGGGTGCAACACAGATCCAAACCATATCAAAGGCTAACCTGAAAGAGAACAGTTCATTTGGTGACATTTGTGTGACTGTCAGTGGGTACTAGGAGAAGGAGAGGTGGGTCTAAATAACTTGAGGAATAAATTATTTCAGAATTCAAATTTGTTTGCTTTTTTCCCCAAAACAAACAAATCTTTCTGGTGGTTCTGTTTCACCCCCCACCCCAGACCCACAGCAGAGAACAGTTGTAGATCAGATAGTTACCAAGTGCATCTGGATATCAGGGTTATGTGAGGAGCTTTAAAATAATGTCAGTCTTGGACCCCATAGAATGCCTACTAAGTCATAATCTCCTGAAAAGAGAACCAGAAGTCTGGATTTACAGGAACCTCTGTCAGGGTAATTCTGATGCAGCTATTTGTGGATCAGTATTTGGGAACTCCAGACAGAGAATATTTAAAGTGCTTTCTCTGTTAGATTTAGAATCAGGCCTTGCCCATCACCCATCATCCTGCCCTCCTCTAGCAAGCCATTGCTAATCAATTTAATAATTTTCTAGACTATTGATATAGCAGCTTAGAGTAGGCTTGGCTAAGAGTAACACAAAAATCCAAAACCACAGTAACTTAAAGATAGATATCGGATTGTCTTACACTTAAAGAAATCTAGAAGGCAATCTCTCTAGAGTGCCATGTTTCAGAGACTCAGGCTCCTTCTACCTTATTGCTCTACCATTCCTGAGTGCACCAGAAAGCAATAGCTTCTGTGTCATGGTCCAAGATGACACTGTCTCCACCCATCACATCAGTCTTTCTGCCAGCAGGAAGGGGGAAGGGGAGAAGGAATCTTCCAAGCTGTCAAACACAACCTTTTGTTTACAATCCATTAGCTAAATAGAATAAAGCTGAATATGACCATATGTAGCTGCAAGGGAGACTGGAGCATGTTGTCTGGTTCTGGGTGGCCCCATGCCCAGTTAAACAGGGGGAAAAGGCAGAAAGAATGATGAAAAACAAAAACCACTTGCTGTTGCAGGTGGTCAGTTCATTTCACATCCATGGATCTGTTTTCTCTCCTCAAAAATTAATGACTTTACACTGGATTGCCTCCTTTATGGTCTGATATTATTTGATTCCATTATTCCATTTTATTTAGTCTAATAAAATTACCTATGAATGTCAGGCAGGCTCCTTTGCTCAGAAATAATGCTCTTTCTTGATTATGTGTAATGCCTGAAATATTACTGTAAGAAAGTTCTTTTAGCTGTAAGGAATGCTAAAGTTCAGATGTCCCAAGAATAAGTGTAGTAATCTAAGCAGTGTAATTTGAGTAAATTTGTCTAATTTTCTAAATAAAACCTTGTGGAGCAATATTTCTAAAAACCAAAAACAATAGGCAAGATATGCATGTATGTATATCTCTACCCAGCCTCTTTCCAAAATGAAACAAGAAGTTCCTGAGGTACACTGAGAGGTGGGCATGAAGGCAGATGCCCTGTATGGAGTCTTGGGTACCAAAGTGAAAGGAAATATCAATGAAGAAAGAGAGGCAAAAACTGCCCTGGAAAAGCCCCATCACTTTCTATGTGGAAAGCTTGGTCTGTGGGGAGACAATGAAACATGACACCATATGAGGCATGGGGATTTTTGGGATGCTTATAAGACAGCCACAGGACCCTTGTGACCTCTAGCCCTAGGGTCGTGTCCCTTATCTTATTCTGTTCTCATTTAAAAATTGATTCCGTTTGAAATTTTTCTCTTTGACACCAAAGTAGTCCTTTCAGTTGGGTTTTGGGGGTTCAAACTGTCAGATAATTTTATTTCCAGGATTTAAAAGATTTTGGCAATATGGAAAAGCCAATCCAACTTTGAGATCCTTCTCCAACTTTTATAATATACAATCTATGACAGATCAGAGCATACTGACTCATCGGAGCATATAATATACAATCTATGACTGATCAGAGCATACCTCCTTTGTTTCCTGGTTTCCAGAAAACTCTATGGTTTGATCTTTAAGAAGAGCAGAGTCTTCTGAGGGTTTGCAATCCTCAGTCCAGAATTTGGCCATGGGAGTAGAGACAGCCTGGAATTATACAAGTTATTAATTGGCTTCACCTTCTGTGCTTGCATGAAGCCAGGTGTAAGAACTGCAGGGCTGGCTACTGGGAACTGACCGGGTGTGCCTGTCTTTCAAATGAGCGCCCATCTGGGTGAGCAGACTGTTTTCAACAGCTTGATAGCAGCATCACAATTTTTCCATCTGTATTACATTCGGCAGAGAAGAGTTGTATATATAAAACAAAAACCAAAATCCTACAGATTCTTATTTTCTCTGTCTCCCAGATTAACTCAGGGATCTTTTTTTGCCCAAACTTAAATAAAGCCATGTTTAATAGTCATATAGTGCTTATGTCACTGTGGAGGCCATGAATGACTCACAGAACACTACCAGGGCAGAGAAATTTGCCTCTGGGAGAACCGATCAATTGTTGCCCTTGAGGTACACCTTTCAGTAAAGATCTATCCAGTTCTTTAGAATGCCAGGATTTACTCCATTTCTCTGGTATGCTCAGTTGAAGTAAATTCATAAATAATAAATAGTATTTGATTAAATATGTCCAAAACACAGCAAAAATACATGGGTCCTTTTGTCTTTCTCAAATGAGAAGGTTGCAGTAGAAACCTTTCAGACAACAGCAGAAATGACTTCTTAGTAGCACCTAAGGGTTCATTCCCCAAACATACATCCAGCAATTTATATAAAACACTTAACACAGTGCCTGGCATACTAATAAATGCTTGATGGATTTCAACCAACAGCAATAAAGTAACAGCAGCAATATAATAAACAAAACCTGCCTAGCTGGAGAGGCCAACAAGAGAGGGAAAAATGCAAGTGTGATCGTACTTCCTCACACAAAGTCTTCTGTGGTCTCTTCCACTGCCTGTGGGATATTATGCGAACTCCTTGGCATGGCCCCAGCTTCCTTCTATAGCTTCACCTCTTACCTGTGCAGTCCACTTCATTCCCCTACATTCTGACTATTCAGGATTTTACACCCTTCCCTGAACACCCTTTACTCTGACATACATTGAGATCTTCACAGCTTATTC